CCCCTCTCTCTCTCTCTCTCTCTGCTTCCCTCTCTCAATTCTTAGTCTTACTTTACTTTTACTTTCATCAGCCAATTATACCCTTTTGGGTGTCGCGGGAAGAAAGAGGCGTATCCCTGCCACCAGCCGGAGAGCTTGGGTTAGGGGGATGCCGTGCGTTGTTAATGTTTCCCTGACTCACTCTATCCAGGTCTTTTTCGGTCGCCCTCTAGCCTTGTTGCAATCGAATGTTTTTTTTTAATGTAGGCATGTTGTGCTGGGTGGTGTGTTGATAATCGTATGATGTCCTAGTCATCCTGATGAAATAAGATTTTTATACGATACGTTATTTTATGCTTCTACAATCACATATTTTTTTTCAAATCATGATGTTTAACCATTTTTTTAAAGAGAAGATGGCACGATTTGTTCAAGGAGGACAACCAGTTACTGAACAGAGCAATGAACTTACTACAGACATTGATACAGCATCTCCCCGAGGTAATGAATGAATCGAATGGGCCCAAAGATTGTACAATACAAGTAACAAGGTTGTTTACTCCTCTGTTTGATATATATGCTAAAAAAAGGAAATGTCCTCAGTTTTATCTATGGCTGTATTTATAATTTATTATATCAGTGTCCTTGGGGTATTAATTTTTAGAGAGTGGTGTATCTTGTTTTCAAAGAGTAGGTGCAAAGATTGTACTGCCCTTGGGCTGGTGCCCTAGCTTTTGTCTAATCATATCTTGTTGAGTTGTAGTGGGTTCAGTTCCTTGTAAGTTGTTCCCTAATTTAAAGATTGCACTCTACATAATGATTCCTTCTGTCAAAAAAAAGCATCCTCTGTAAACTGTAACCCATTAACAATAATATTATATGGATGTCGCGTCACCATCAGAGCTGATGAAGATTTCTTGAATTGTCACGCAAATCGAAGTAAAGTTTCTTTTTGTACATGCAATCTTTGCAGTTACTCTCTCTATCTTATCTCTGAGAAGAAAATAAGTACAGACAGTTGAAAGTTGTAAAGGCCGGGAATTATAAAATACACCTATTTATAAACTGTTGTCTTTGTGCCTTTTCTTTTTTAGGTATAGTTAAAATTCTTCATGCATGTGACAAAGAAATCTTCAAAGGTTGGAAAGATAGTAAGGTAAGTCAGTTTCTTTGACTTTGAGAGATATTGATCTCAAATATGAGAAAGGGTGTATTTGTCTAAAAACGATTATTATTGCATTTAACCATAATTTGAAATCTGAGTATAACCGTTTTAATAAGGAACGGTTAGTGAAAAAGATTTTGTTTTGTTTTGATTGTTGTAGATAATGGTTTTCCTTTCTCAGTATCTTTAATTTTTGGCAACAATGCAAAGTAAATGCCAATATTGAATCTCTTACTCGTTTATTGCTTCACAGATCTTTAACACCCATCTATAAGGAAATTATGTAGGTCATGTCTTTATTATTTTTTGTATTTCATATTTTTTACAGGGCATAAACAATGACGTGATCTTGGACAAAGTGGTTAAAATTGCACTGAAGATAAAGGAAGTCTTGAAGGTATGTATGTTAGAAAGATTTGTATCATACCTTGAGGCTGCTATAACATTGATGGAAACAAGCTTTAAGTTGAAATTCCGGAGTTTTATTTACTGGATTTAAATGTTAAAAGTCAAGTGAAAGGCAGCAGAACCCCCCCCCCCCCCCCCCACTATCATGATGTACTTTTTTCTATGACATTGTTAGCACAAGTGCCGATCAGTGGCTCAGAAAAGTTTATGACAAGTATAACCAGTAAGACACTGAGATAAAATAATCATTGCCGGAAGAACAGAAGAAGATGAAGAGCATCATATCGGTGGAGGTGCAGGGAGATGTCAAGAAACTTGGCAACAACTTAAAGTTAGAGAGGTGCACATCAACAAATTGCATGGTTTTTCCTCCTTTTTTTTCTAGATAAGTTCAGACCTGTTTTAATTTCAACGATTATACATTTCAAGATTCATCCCTTCTCTGTTTGTGATACTGAAGAAAAACTTCATCAGTAGTCCTGGTTGCTACATCAACAAATGTATATTATTGTCTTTCAGATATGTACTATCATTACTGAGTTGCATAGGCGGCCAAAGTGACAGACTTTCACAAATGATATGTAGGTCCTATAGATTCTGTTTTTGACAGAGGGAATCGTCTTGTACAGTGCAATCTTTGTTATCCAATATTAACAGAAGTTTTGAATTCAAATTTGTTAGAGATGAACTTGAAGGTGGAGTAACTTCTTTGTGTTCTTAATATCATATATTGCAAAGAGGTTAAATTACTAACTTTTTTGCATATGCTTTTGTTTCTTTTTTTTTTCCTTTTTAACATGCCAGAAAACATCATTAAGGGCTTAAACAATGTTTTGATGCCTGTTTCAGATTTGAGAATGTGAAAAAATTATTAGGGAGAAATTTAATAGCTGTTATCAACTTGCTATTGTTTCAGGACCCTTCTAGTGGGGCAGTTGTCATTACAGGCTGTGGTACCTCAGGGAGACTGGCTTTCCTGACTGCAGTGAGTTGATTTTATGTTCTTGGTTTTGTTGTAACTTTTTTGTTATTTGGGCTTCAGCAGGAGAGATTGGGAGAAGGGGGAAGGGGGGGGGGAGAAGGATCATAGAATAAATTATTTCATAATAATAAAGACGTTGACATTAAATAAGCATGGTGGAAAGATATTACATGAGGGAGAAGAAGGTTTGAGTAACAAGGAGCTCTTAGTTCTTACGTTCATATGGGATATTTTCATTCTTTTCCTTATTTAGTTATCATTACAAAAAAGGGGTGGGACACTTATTTTACTTATTGCACTTTTTTACGCACAGGCCTTGGTAAAGTTTTTCTAATTCTATATACACATTTCTAATAAAAATTTCCTATTTACAGAGGACCTTCAATAGATACCTGACATCTCGTGGAAAGGAGCCTTGTTTTCAGTACATCATTTCTGGAGAAGATAAGTAAGGCTCCACAACTTTCTCCTTTGTGACATGTATTTCCTGATTTATTAGTAGACTGTTCATGAATTATAAACCATTTGTAGTTGATAATGTAAGAAAGAAATAGTTACAGCAATCATGACACAAATATAATGGAATGATTAATGTTACTGTTCTGCATATCAAAATTATTTTGGTAAAGTAGTTTTATTTTTTTAGTTTTTAGAAGAGTAGACAAGAGAAGTACTCCATAAGTTCTTATTTTCGTAGTAACATAATTTGTACTCTGTAAGTTCTCATTTTTATAGAAACGTTTCACTTTTGCTCTCATCTTCACAGATTTAAATGAAGGTACAGCATTGTTTTTATGACCGAAAAATGATTACTATCAAATTATTCCTTGGGAGATCTTATTGATGTTTAAAGAGATAATCTGTTAGTAATAGTTCCTTGTCTGATGTTTTGTTTATCGCAGTTACTCTTTTTATATACTCTGTACTCTGCTTACCACCCTTGAAGCTTCTAGATCCTGATTCTATTGGGTTTTTTATTTTGGTATAATGCTGTTTTACCTTTCAATCTTGATTGCAAACTTAGTGAGGAATATCTGAAAAAGACCAAACTGTTTGTAATTACTTATGAAATGGAAATACAAGCGACAGATGTGAATGCTGAAAATGCAATTTTGCTATTATTTTTGCGTAGGTTTGTTTCTTGCTGAAGAAGAAATAGGCTGTCTACCTCAGCAGCCATCATGAATGAAACAACTTATGATATTAGTGAGTCCATATACTAGTTTGTCTCATAAGAATATATTCAGTTTTGAACCCAGTTCAGTGACAAAAATGTTACTTTGAAAAGTACTGAAGTGTACCACCGAATTTCAATAATTTACCATGTTTTTTTTTTAAAAAACAGGGCCTTATTCACTTCGCAAGAATTGGCTGAGGATGATCCCATTTTCGGAGCTCAAGCTCTAGAGAAGGTCTTGTAAATTGTGTTTATTTTCTTCTATACGTGTAAATTTAGATAAATTTCACTCTCCATATTATTTTGTACATTTTATTTTGCTTATTTTTGTTAAAGTTGATTACTTGATTACTTGATCCTGGGAACAACATCATAGCACTCCGGGCACTGCTATACGTGCTCCGCTCCCCGCTCCTATATCCACCTCAGAGTCCTTCTGCTGATCGTTCCGGTGTTCATTTGGTTAATAGCCCGTCTTTCCATCCCCAGTACCATGCTGGTTCTGCCACTTCCTCTGAAGACACCCTGTTCTTCAAGTCGTAAGATTGGTGAATAGTCAAGCTCAATCTTCTCATCTTCAAGTGTGGTGGCAAGGGCCTTCACGACATCATTTTTGTCCATTTTAATGTCAGTATTGATAGGTGCATTGGTCGCCAGTTTGTCTGCTCGTTCATTTCCCACCACACTCATATATGGCTTGGAGCATAGATCCATGTTATTTTTCTCAGTCTGCTTTCTTCTATGCTTTGCAGCCACTCTTTTCTCAGCATCCACTTATTGACTTTCTGCAATATGTTTTGAGAGTCAGTGACAATGACAGCATGTCTGGCAGAACGCAAGCTCTCTTTTAGTCATTCGAATGCTTTTGTAACTGCCTCTACCTCCATTCTTGTGCTTGAAGTCATTTTGCTGCATCCACCAGATGATTTTTTAATTATGTGGCCATCTTTATGTACAGCAAAACCCCAACCACTTTTCACCCCACGTTTCAGAGAACCATCAGTGTATATTACTGGATCCAGGGGCCTGGAGTATTCCCCGACAATCTGTCTTACTTCCAACTCTGCTGTTCCTGCCACCTCCAGTACATCTCCCTTCTTTACACCAATGATGTCTCTTGTCGAATCGTGTGCAGCCTCTTGTGACACTTGAATCCACTCACTGCCATCGTTTATATCGGGGAACTCACCCACCTTCTTTACAGCCTCTTCTGCCTGTGCCATCCAAGATTGACCTCCCTTTAGTCGTGTCCCGCTGTCCTGCTTGATCACTGGGTGAAGTGGGTGTCCTTCCATTTCCATAACTTTCAGGTACATCTTAGCCTGAGCTAATTTGTGTCTTACTCATATACTGGAGAGTCCAAGTATGTGTCTTAGACAAACAATTGGAGTGTCTCTGTTAAGGGCTTAACTTATTTCTTCCCCCATTTATGTCTGTGAGTGTTTTAACTGGATACTCCTTGTGAATTCTACCACTGTAGACAAAATTTAGTTTTATGCATTTCTATTGTATACCAGGGAAATATTGACTCAAGAAAGGAAGTTGAAAGAGCTGTTTCTAGAGTGCTGACACCAGAAATGTATGCAAACTACGAGGATGTGATATCTACAG